AATAGGTTGGGGCTACTTTCCCTGGAGCATCAGAGGCTGAGGGGTGACCTTACAGAGGTTTATGAAATCATGAGGGGCATGGATAGGGGGTATAGCCAAATCTTTTTCCCAGGGCAGGGAAGTCCAAAACTAGAGGGCATAGGCTTAAGGTGACAGGGGAGAAATCTAAAAGGGACCTAAGAGGCAACCTTTTCACGCAGAGATTGTTGCGTGTATGGAATGAGCTGCCACAGGAAACAGTGCAGGCTGGCACAATTACAACATTCAAAAGGCAGCTGGATGGGTACGTGAATAAGAAGGGCTTAGAGGGATAAGGGCCAAATGCTGGCAAATGGCACTGTATTAATTTAGGATATCTGGTCAGCATGTGCTAATTGTACTGGAGGGTCTGTTTCCATGCTGTACAACTCTATGACCAATAAACCAATTGCAGAAAAAAACTTCTTCATATAGAGATAGTAGGAACTGCCAATGCTGGAGAATCTGAGATAACAAGGTGTACAGCTGGATGAACACAGCAGGCCAAGCAGCATCAGAGGAGCAGGAAAGCTGACATTTCAAACGTCAGCCTCTCTGCTCCTATGATGCTGCTTGGCCTGCTGTGTTCATCCACCCCTGCACCTTGTTGTTTCAAGTCTGGACCCTTCTTCAGAAAATGCAGAAAATTTCTGAAGAAGGGTCCAGACCGGAAACGTCAGCTTTCCTGCTCCTCTGATGCTGCCTGGCCTGCTGTGCTCATTCAGCTCTACACCTTGTTATCTCTCTTCTTCATATAGAGTTTGTTTAAAATTGGAACTTGTTGCCACAAGGAGTAGTTGTTATGGATAGTGTAGGTGCCTTTAAAGGGAAACTAGCCAAGTTTTTTTCTATGTTTTCATGGGGTACAGACATCGCTGGCTAGGCCTGATTTTACTGCCTTTTCCTCAATGCCTTTGAGAACGTGGCGGTGAGCACTCCCGGGGGCGTAGTGATGTTAGAAAGGGAGTTTAAGGGTTTTGACCAACTGATAATGAAGCAAGGGTGCATAGTTTCGAGATGGTGAGTGCCTTGGGAGTAAAGGTGCAGGTGATATGTACCATGTTGCCCTTGTCATAGAGATTGTGGATTTAGAAGGTGCAGTTGAAGGGCCCTTGGTGAATGTCTGGACTGAGTCTTGTCGATGGGACAAAGTGTAGCTACTGAACATCGGTCATGAAGGGAATCAGTGTTGGAGGCAGTGGATCAGTTACCAGTTAAGTGGGTGGCTTTGTTCCAGATGATGTCAAGCTTCCTGAGTGTAGTTGGAACTAGACACATCTAGGCAAATGGGGAATATTCCATTACACTCCTGGCTTGTGCATTTGACTCTGGGGGGTCGGGAGGTGAGTTACTTGCTGTAGGATTCCCAGCTTCTGGCTTGCTGTTTTAGCCACAGTTGGTCCAGTTCAGTTTCTTATTAATGGTAACCTCCAGGATATTGACAGTGGGGATTCCCTATTGGTGATGTCATTGAATGTCAAGGGATGGTGGTTGGATCCTCTCTTGTTGGAGATGGTCATTGCCTGGCGTTACACAAATGCCAGACAATGTTACTTGCCACATATCAAGCCAACCCTGGATGTGTCCAGGTCTGGCTGCATGTAGAGTCATTGAGTCTTAGGGTTGTACAGCACGGAAATAGACCCTTCAGTCTAACTTGTCCATGCTGGCCAGATATCCTAAATTAATACAGTCCCACTTGCCAGCATTTGGCCCATATCCCTCTAAACCCTTCATAGTCAAATATCATCCAGATGCCTTTTAAATTTTATAATTGTACCAGCCTCCACCATTTCCTCTGACAGCCCATTCCATACATGCACCACGCTCTGTGAAAATGTTGCCCCTTAGATCCATTTTAAATATTTCCCCTCTCACCTTAAACCTATGCCCTCTAGTTTTGGACTCCCCTGCCCTTGGAAAAAGACCTTGGTTATTCACACTATCCAGTGTGAACTGTAAACTCCTGTAAGGTCACCCCCTCAGCCTCCGATGCTGCAGGTAAAACAGCCCTCGTCTATTCAGCCTCTCCCTACAGCTCAAACCCTCCAACCCCAGCAAATCTTTGTAAATCTTCTCTTTCAGATTCAGTATCTGAAGAGTTGCACTATTTTGAACATTGTGCAATCATTATCAAACATCCTCACTTCAGAGTTTACAAGGGATGCAATGCACAAAGAGATATGCTAACATGATTGGATAAATTAAGTTGGAAGGAAGCTTATAAGAACATAAGAATAAGGAGCAGGAGTGGGCAGTTCAGCCCACTTAATACAACCATAACTAATCTCATCTTGGCCTCAACTCTACTTTCCTGCTTGCTCCCCATAACCCTTCAACCAGATACTGATTAAACATCTGACTGTCTCCTCCTTGAATTTTCTCAATGTCCTGGCATCCACTGCATTCTGAGGTAGTGAAATCCACAGATTCACAACCCTTTGAGAGAAGTAATTTCTTCTCAACTCTGCTTTAAATGTGTTAAATCATGTATGGTGTAAACTGAAGACAGATGTATTGGACTGAATATCCTGTTACTGTGCTGCAAATTCGATGACTTGAGTCAATATTGGGTGACTAACCTTGTGGGGAATGCCCACGAGAATGGGTGGAATATTAAAAGCACACTGCAGCTTTGGTGCCTTGTGATTCAGACTTCCTGTTCCCTAATGTATTTGAAGATGTTGTTAATCATATTCCGAGTTTATCCTGATCTGCCATGCACCCTCTCTCTAAATAACTATGAATGTTCAGAATCATTCAGAATTTGGAGACGGGAGGGTGGAGTAGCTGATGGGGGTGGGGATGGGGGAAAGGAATGACAACATTGATGATCTGCTCTTCTGGAAAGGAATGGGCCCTTCAGGGATGGCATGGTGGCTCAGTGGTTAGCACTGCTGCCTTACAGTGCCAGGGACCTGGGTTTGATTCCAGCCTCAGGTGACTGTGTGGAGTTTGCATGTTCTCCCCATGCCTGCATGGGTTTTCTCTGGATGTTCTGGCTTCCTCCAAGAGTGCAAAGATGTACAGATTAGGTGGAATGACCATGCTATGTTGCCCATAGAGTGTAGGCTAGGTGGATTACCCAATGGAAAGAAGGGAGGTGCTCAGTCTGGGTGGGATGCTGTTCGGAGGGCTGGTATGGACTGAATGCCTTGCTTCCATACTGAAGGGATTCCATAATTCTTTATTGAGTGAAAGGATAGTCAGCTTCTCTGGTGGGGTAACAGGGTTGGTGTGATGCATTTGTGCTTAAAAATAGCCTGTCGCAACTTGAGTTTATTATATTGTAATGCCTTTACTATAAGTGTCTGCCACGAGCCATTTAGAGAAACATTGGGTCAGGTTTTAGAGAAGACCACTCTGTAGCTGTGGTCCTAAGCAGCTGAAGGCACACCATCGCTGTTGGAGGGAAGGAAATTATGGGTGGGCAAGGTTTTGGAATTGTAGATAAGGAGCATTCTCTGAAAATTGTTGGGATGTAGGGTATTCTCTTGGGGAGAACAGCCAGGGAGCCAATCAACTCCAAGGCTGGGCAAAAAATGGAACAAAGCCTGAATCTGAAATACAATACATTTACTGGGTAGTGCTGATAGGATACTCTGACAAGTGTTTGTCAGGAGGTGATGGCCTAGTAGTATTATTGCTAAACTATTAATCCAGAGACCTAGGTAATCTTCTGGGGACCTGGGTTCAAATCCTGTCATGGCAGATGGTGGAATTTGAATTCAAATAATTTTTTTTTAAAAATCTGGAATGAAGAGACTAATGCCAATTATTGGGGAAAAACCCATGTGGTTCACTCATGTCCTTCAGGGAAGGAAATCTGCCATCCTTACTTGGTCTGGCCTACATGTGACTCTAGACCCACAGCAATATGGCTGAGTCTTAGCAATTAGGGATAGGCAATAAATGTTGGCATAGTCAGTGATGCTTACACCCACCTGAATGAATAAAAGTATCAGTTTATTGCACATGGGCTGTTGGTGTGCATTGGTGGAAAGGGGACATTAATATTACCCAGGTTTACCCTCATCCCCTTCCCCTTTACAAAGCTGCTGACTCCTACTGGTGATGTGTTACCATGGAAATTCTCCCCCAGGTGTTCCCCACATGGGGGAAAGTAAGGCAAAGCAATTCTTGCATTCCTATGGTCCCTTTCATGGCCTCAGGATGTCACAAAGAGCCTGACATCTCATCAAAGAATATTGAAATGCAGCCACTCTCACCATGTTGGAAAATGTGGTGGCCAATTTGTGTACAGGAAGTTCCCACAATCAACAATGTGACAGTGACCAGGTAGTCTAATCCTTGTGATGCTGGTTGAGGGGTGAATATTGGTGAGGACACTCAGAGAGCTCTCCCATGCTTCTAGGAAAGAGCACCAGTGGATCTTTTGTGTCTATCTGAGAGGACAGCTTCTGAACAGATTCAAGAACAGCTTCTTCCCCGCTGTTATCAGACTTATGAACAGACCTCTCGTATATTAGAGTTGATCTTTCTCTGCACCTTCTCTGTAGCTGTAACACTATATTCTGCATTCTATCCTATTACCCTGACGTACTAATGTAAGGTATAGTTTGTCTGGTTAGCACACAATACAATACTTTTCCACTGTATCGTGGTACATGGGATAGTAATAAGTCAACTCAAATGAACACTGCCTGTGCAGCAAAATATTTTCAGCCAGGATTCTTTGCTCCAGTCTCTGGAAACAGGAATTGAGCCTGCAACTTTGAGTTGCAGAAGTAAGTCCGCTACCGACTGTGCCACACCAGATACATGATCCTTGGCAACGTTGCGTTGCTAAGGTATTCCACAATGGAGGGGCCATAGTTGCCAGGCCCAATCCTGTCTTTCTCTGACCTGCTTCCGCTGAGCATTAATCTAGGCCACTTGATCACCATCCAGTGACATTACTGTTATGACCATTGGCATTTTGCTACATTTGACTTGGTGTGCTCTCCTTGGCTTTTCCTCAGGTATGACTACATTGAAATCCGTGATGGAGACAGGGAGAGTGCGGATCTGCTGGGCAAACACTGCGGGAACATCGCCCCATCATCCATCATCTCCTCAGGTTCTGCGCTCTACATCAAATTTGTGTCGGACTACGCACACCAAGGAGCAGGATTCTCACTGCGTTACGAGATCTTCAGGACAGGTTAGTCTCTCGTCCCTCTCAGGTTAGTGTGTCGAGGATGAAATGAAAGCGAGATTGTCGTATATGAACATCCCTACGAAGATTACATTTGTTCTGCCCAGGCCCAGAAGCACTTTGTAGCAGATGGCGTTTTAAACGAGCAAAATTCTAAAGGTAAGATGTGTAATAGAGAGCCCAAAGGCAGCATTATTTCATTCTGTGGCATTCATTCAGGGGATATGGGTGCTGCAGGCTAGGTCCAGAATTTATTGCACATCCCTAATCCCCCAGAGGGCAGTTAACAGTCAACCACATTGATATGGGTATGGGATCGTATGTAGGCCAGACCAGGTAAGGAGAAGAAGGTTTCCTTCCCGAATGGGCATCCATGATCCACAGTTTTTTAACAATCTTTGACAGTGGTTACATGGTAACCATTAGGCTCGCTTTTTATTCAAAACTTATTTTTTAAAATTGAGTTCGAATTTCACCATCTGCCACGGTAGTTCTGGAACCCTTGTCCCCGTTGTGTTAACCCGGGGATCTGGTTTTGTAGCCCAGTGACAAGGCGTCAAATATACACAGATATACGCTCTCAGCCATTTGATAGTATGAAACACAAAGGCCTGAGTTCAAGGTCCGTTCCAGGGCTTGAACACAAACTCAAAATCGACACAGCCACGCAGTATTGAGGGAATTTCAGCAAAGATTGACTGCAAATACACTTTATTGGCTGTGAAGTACTTTGAGGTGGTCATGCAAAGCATTATTCAAAGTCAAGCCTTTCCAGCCTTTAAATAGGGGCAGGAAAGGGCTTCCTCTGTGATAGTGAAATGGCAAATGATACTTGCATAAGCCTTAGAGAGAATGCTCACCACTGGGCACACGATGCCCTTTGTGGGACCAATACCCTTGGGTGGCCAATTTTGATTTGGAGATGTCACCATATGACCTCTGACTTGAAACCCCACCCACCCCCTGCCATTGGTCCACCTTTTGAACAGTCTGTCTTCCCGCAGCCAATGGGAAAGGGGAGCAGGTTTCTCGTTATCCAAATGGATTGAACTTGACTTTCCCCATGCGCCAACTGCCTCGCCCGAAGCATCCGTGCCATTTTCGCCATTAGTAAGTCAGTACGTCGAGATGAAATGAAGGAAAAACACATCTTTCGTGGCATACAACTTTAGTGCCAGGAGATTATTCTTCAATTCTGCTGTGGACAATCCCGCAGATTCGTAACCTGACTGTGGGAGGCAGGGAGTGGAGAGGGAGGTGGAGTATGACACATTTGGGACAAGAGAAGGAGCAGTTGGCTGAATGGGCCTTTGGAACGCTTAGTTTATTGTTCTCTTGTTGTCAGAGGCAAAAACAAACTGAAGTGGCCTTGAGGTTTTACAGAGGTCTGGACTTTACTGGTTGGTTTGTTTAATGTTTGATCAGGAGCCAAGAATTAAGCTGCTGTTTATTTAGCAGTGGAGCTGAGATCTTATGAGGCAGATGATTCGTCAGTCACCCCACCTCGGGCTTTCTCCTGTTGCAGCTTCTCATGTTTACACTCTGCACGCAGCCCGCTACCAGGAACCATGAGCTGCTGTCAATTTTCTAAACTCTCCTCTGCGCCCTGTTCCCTGCTAAAAGACCCCCGCAAAAAAAAATGAAGCTGAGAGTGAGGGAGAGATGGAGACTGAGAGATGGAAAGGCAGGTCGAGTGCGAAAAAGACATTGGGCGGGGGAGACAAAGAGACTGCAGCAGGTACACGTGGAGAGTCAAATATGTGAGAAAGGCAGCGTTTGGGCAGTAGAGACAGAAAGATGGAGACAAATGTATATTGAGACATATTCATAGGAAAAGGCAGTGGAGAGAGAGAGGTACTGAGACAAGCTGGGGAGAGCTCAGACTTCAATATTAAGACAACTTGAATGTTGTTTGCATGTTTCAAGCATGATCTATGACCTAGATCGGCCCGAAACATCAGCCTTCCTGCTCCTCTGATGCTGCTTGGCCTGCTCTGTTCATCCAGCTCTACACCTTGTTATCTCTTTCAATTTATTCCCGTTTGTTATAGGGAGTGATTATGCTGTACGTCCAACTGTTCTCTCAGTCTTCTATGCTTGTCACTTGGGGGCTCATTATAACCCTCCTTCCAGGCCCCCATTCTCCCATGCACACATGCATATGCATGCATACAAGCACGCCCACACACAAATGCACACAGGCACACACACGCGTGCTCAAACATAGATGCACAGAGACACATGCAAATACACACACAAAGACTGACACAGACACGCATATACATGCATACACACACACTCACTTCTGGGGAGGCAATGGCCTAGTGGTAGTATCACTAGACTATTAATCCAGAAGCCCTGGTAATGTTTTGGCGACCTGGGTTCAAATCCTGCCAGGGCAGATGGTGCGAATTGAATTCAATAAATATATAGAATTATGAGTCTGCTGATGACCATGAAACTATTGTCGATTGTCAGGAAAAGCCCATCTGGTTCACTAATGTCCTTAAGGGAAGGAAACTGCCATCCTTACCTGGTCTGGCCTACATGTGACTCCAGACCCACAGCAATGTGATTGACAATGGGCAATTAGGGATGGGCAATAAATGCTGACCTGGCCAGTGACACCCACATCCCGTGAATGAATTAGAAAAAACACAGACATACGTGAGATACATAGAATCCCTGCAGTGTGGAAGCAGGCCATTCGGCCCATCGAATCCACACCAATCCTCCAAACAGCATCCTACTCAGACCCACCTCCTCCACCCTATACCTGTAAACCTAGATTTCCCATGGCTAACCCACCTAGTCTGCACATCCTGGATGCTATAGGCAACTTAGCATAGCCAATCCACCCACTTGCACATCTTTGGACTATGGGAGGAAACCGGAGCACTCGGAGGAAACTCACGCAGACACGGGGAGAACGTGCAAACTCCACCCAGACAGTGGCCCAAGGGTGGAATCAAACCCGGGTCCCTGCTGCTGTGAGGTAGCCAGTCTAAGGCTATCTCACAGAAACAAGGCTAATCCAACCTTGACTCACACCAAGTCCTGCTCATTTAGCCTCCTTGTGCTCGCTGAATGATATCCCAGTCTGGTATAAGTCTCGAATTTAAGTCTCCAGCTAAATTCCTTCCTCTTTCTGTCATCTCTCGAGCTCTACAACCCCCTGAGAACCCTCTGTGTTCCTCAAAATCGGGCACCATGCGCATTCCTAATTTCCAATGCTCCACCAATGGCTGTCATGCCCAGCCTAAACTCTTAAATTCCATCCCCTAAACCTCTCTCTCTAGGGCTCTATGTTTCTCTCCTCATGTTAGACCTCATTTGAGCCTAACCCTCCAAACAAGACTTTGATCACCTGTTCCAATACCTCCTTAAGTAACTCTGTCAAATTTGGTCCAACAATACTCTTCTGAAGAGCTTTGTGGTACTTTGTTGCATTAAAAATGCCAACTAAATTCCTGGCCTGGTCCGCATCCAGGACGAACACGCTTCCCATCAAGGGACAGCAGAAGTGAATCAGTCGCAGGAATGTTGACTGATTTTGTTCTGCTGCCACTCCCTACCCTCCTCGTTGGAACCCCTGGATTCAGCGGAGGTGGTGCTGTGGTGGTACTGTCACTGGACTGGTGATCTGGAGGACCAGGCCAACACTGTAGAGCATGGGTTTGAATCACACCAGGGCAAATGGTGAAGTTTAAACTCTATATACAAAAAAGAAATCTGGTCTTAAAAAGCTAGCCAAATGACCACCATGCAACTGGCATTGTAAAAACCCATTTGGTTCAATAATGTCCTTTATGGAAGGAAATCAGCCCTCCTTACCTGGCCTGCCCTCCATATAAGCTATTACAGTAGACTTTACCCATTTCAGCAACACAATCCTATTGCACAGTAAACTCAACAAGGCCAGACATGGTTATGGGCTTAGATTATGATAATCCAATGCGCCGTGAAGAGACCAAGCCAAAAGCTGTTGGGAAAACTGGTTTAATGTCCTCTATGCTCAGTGGCAGTTTGACCTTGTATGAGGACTAGGACATTTACTAAAGTTGATAGGGGGAGGAGTGTTCAGTGTCATCTGGACTAGTTGCCTCATTGCCTTCCTTTCTTTGCAGGGTCCGACGATTGCTCCAAGAACTTTACTGCCCCCAGTGGCACGATTGAGTCTCCCAAGTTCCCTGACAAGTACCCGCACAATCTGTACTGCACTTACATCATTCAGGCACCACCCAGGTCAGAGGTGACCCTCACCATGCTGACCTTCGACCTGGAATATGACCCCCTGCAGATCGCACCAACAGACTGCAGATATGACCGTCTCGACGTCTGGGATGGTCTTCCGGAAGGTAAGGATTGCCATGGGGATTTGCAAGGTCAACAGCCAGTTTGGAGCATTTGTGGTCCTTTATCCAAACCTTCTTTGATTTCTTCTGTTAAGTATTTCACTTTTAAGTTTTTGCAGCGACCAGATTTGACCTAATAACCCCAGTGTTTATTTCACAACCGAACGCTTTTCCAAGATTTTAAGTTGGAGATTGGATTGGACAGGCATGTATACCATTTATCAAGGAAGGAAGCGTACACCAATGCATGTGATAGTCCAGTACCTTTGGAAGAGGATATGAAGACATGGTGCAGGGAGAGTGTGCCTACCGGACTCCTGATACAGATGCTGTCTCTTTGTCCAATGGGTTTCCTGGCAATGAAACATTGGTGTGACCAATCTCACACAAAACTGTTGGAGTGCAGGGAGGGCGGAGGGCAAGTTGTGGACCTTCTTGCGGGTCTTGTTCTGGGTCTTTCCAAGGTGCATGGTACCCATAGATCAGAGGAATGGACAGCAGGAGACCTAGCTGCCTGCCTCTATCCCAAAGTCTTCTGTGCATCTTGGTGGCCCAGGGACACACGAGACCTGCCCTGATGGACATGTATACACTTCAGGTTATTGTAGACATCAAGGACTGTGCTATTACTTAAATTTATTAGGTTTACTTGTGACAGTGATCTTTATTAGTTGTGGCTGTTTAAAAAAGGGAGCTTATTTATTTGTTTTTTTTTTAATGGATGGTACTGGGCAACCTTGTGCTTTCTCACTGATGTTCTTCATATAAAGGTAACAAACTTTTTGGGTGGGTTAAATGCATGACACCCAGGGAGACTCAGTCAGTACAAAGACCAGCCAAGGAAACCAAACAGATAGCAAAAACATGGTTACTTTAATTCTTTGGCTAAAAGTAGCCATGGATTATCTCAGGGTCAAGCCCAAACTCTGGCTGAAAGATTAGTGCCAATGATTGAACTCTCCAGGAGGATTCCACCTGTGACTTTCTGTTCAAGTTTCAGTATATTGTTGGCACATGTTAACTTTTAGACAAGGTTTCAAATTGAAGGAACAATGTCTCACAGAAACTGCTCCAACTTCAAGCTCCTCTGCCTGTTTTCTCTTTGGTCCCCAGTGAGCCCACTGATTGGACGCTACTGTGGTTCCAAGATCCCGGCGGTGATTCGTTCTGATACCGGGATCATGTCACTCACCTTCCACACAGATATGGCCGTGGCTAAAGATGGATTCTCTGCCGTGTACAACATCACAGCGAAAGACACCGTGGAATGTAAGTATGGAATCGGAAGCTGCTCGGAGAATGGGCTATCTGTAGGGATTTCAGGATTGACCTATCACCTTCAGGATTTAAATCAAATTCAGATGAACCGGGATGATAAGGACCCCCTCACAAAATCGGCATCTTGAGGGATACCAATGACGTCCAACCCAATGATGGTCCCATCAACTTTTCTGGTCCATAGCAGGAACTTAGTTATTGCCTCACTCAGCTCACCATATCCCTTAATACATTTGGTTAACAACAACCTCTAAAGTTTAACAATTACTCTAGCATCAGCTGCCATTTGCAGAAGAGAATTCAGAACCTGTGCCATGCCTTTCATTCCTGTGAAGGGTGGCTCTAATGTTTAGGCTGTGCCTCCTCGTCCTGCTCTCCAAATCAGCAGCACTCGTTTGGTTCATCCTTCTCAATTTGTTCCCCTTGAATGTCTTGAAGACTTTAATCAAATTACCCTTAAAGCGTGTAAATTCTAGGGAATACAGCCCTAACTGGTATAATCTCTCCACGTAATTTTAACCCTTGGCATCTTGGTAACTTTCTGATGTGGACTTGGCTGACAGAGCTGCACTCTGGCACATGTGTTCCTTCTCAAACCGTCTCATTCCTTCTTTACCACTGCCAACTATCTGAGGTGCTTCTGTAATTTGCCAATAGCTCCTCTCTATCCTTTGGGAATTTCCGGCTCCCCTGTAGAAGTCCAACTTCGGCCACGCAACAGGTCAAAGGTTACACCACACTAATGTGATTCCCTTGTATTTCTAGCCTATCAGTGCAATAGTCCACTGGGAATGGAGTCTGGCCAGATTAGCAACATGCAGATCACTGCTTCATCCTCCTATACCTACGGAAACTGGGATGCGACCCAAGGGCGGCTCAATTACCAAGTCAATGGTTGGACACCAAATGAGGACACCATCAGGGAATGGATCCAGGTATGTCAAGAGTTTCAAACTAGGGTTACAGGGGGAATAAAAACAAGGAAATTGGGAGCAGAGAAGAGGCATTGCAGATATGACGGGCCAAACAGCCTTCCTCAGCAAGTCCATCACACTGCTGTGTTTCTGTGAAGCTAGGAGCTGAATATTGTGCAGAATCGCAAGATGTTCCTGTTCAGATATGGGACAGATAATACTCCCCGATGTGATCAGATCAGACCTCGCCCCTGACTGTTAATGAGGTTGTGCCCCCATTGAGCTGCTGAAGGTTTGCCACTGACTGTGCAAAGATTCCATGGTAGTTCTGATGGAACCAGAGGCCTTAATGTAGAATTAGTCATTTGAGACCTCATCAAAATGGACATAAACATAAAGATGGACATAGGCAATTGAAGGATCACAGTTTGTTATTTTGAGCTCACCTGCAGTGGCCAGATTCTCCATTTCAGCCTGTCGAACACGTTACCAGTGCAGCAAAAGGCCATTCAGCCCATTGGTCTTTGATGGTATTTTTGTGTCACATCTCCCACCCTATTTGACCTAAACCTATCAACGTATCCTTCTCTTCCTTTCGTCAATACATGTTTGTCCAGTGCCCTACCAGCTGCTAAGTGTCTATAAACCTCTCGGCAAATTTCTCCTGTATTCCTCCCTGGCTGAAAGGGGCATCTCTGGAACTGCGGATGTTTGATCTATTATTCTGCTCCTGAATTAACATTGATCCACTTTCATTAGCTGGTGGTGCTCAGACCTGCTGGATGGTGGGTCCTGAACAAACTGACAAAGGATTAATGGCAGCTTTTAACCTGACTGAATGGTTTGGATGAATTCTCTGCTTATATTGATTTTACTGTCACTGCAATCTCCACAGGCAAAGCACCAGGTAGACCAGTTGGGTTCAGTTTTTCCCTGCTGTGCCTTTCGCCTCTAGAGTTTCCGATCCTGCAAGATTGTCCCAAAGAGTATGGAATTTAAACATTTAAGACACCACCACAAGTGATCCAGGAGAAATAGTGGGAAGATCCAGGAGAGGAGCATTAAAAAAATTGTGATTGTTAATCAAGATTCTTTGTGCAGATAATAAAGAGACTGGTTGTTATCAAATTGATGTGTAAGGGTGGTAGTTGGACTCCTATGGACAAAGCCTCCTTGAATAATGTCCAACTAGAGTCGGAAACTCTATCCCTCCCTCCCCCTCCTACAGTCTCCAACAGCCTTGTCTATTGAGGGTTACCTTGTCCTCATGGCTGGGGAGAAAGGCAGAAGGTTTGCACTAAGCAATGATGCTCATTCTGTGAGCCAGCAAGGGGCATGATGGGACGAATGGTCACCTTTCGCGTCATAACCATTCTGTGATTCTGTGAAAACCGGTGATCACCCCCAAGCATGCAGGCATGGGCAGCAGGTGTATGAAAATACCACCAACATCCACATCCTTCCACAGTCAGACACAATCCTGACCTGCAAATATATCGCAGCTACTTCACTGTTACTGCAAAATGCTGCAACTCCCTCCTGACAGCAATATGTGTGAGTGTGTGTGTGTTTTTATGTGTGCGTGTGTGTGTATTTATGTGCCTGTATGTATACCCTGGTTGAGACCCGGATTATCAAGTCACTCTGCAGTTTTCTGAAGGCCTCGAGTCCTCGGCTTTTCAGGACCTGAGGTTTTTGGTTCATCTTCAAGGAATAACTTGCAAGGTTTCAATGCTGGTTAGCTTGTTCCATTGAGGAGAGCATCAATAAAATGATTCAGCATGTGTCCATTTGGATAAAGTGCAGGCCATTGAAAATATCACCCTTTCCTTCCTGAACTTTGGACACTAACACAACCCAACTATGTCAATTACCTTTGAAGAACAAAATGCCCAAATTAATTTGATTTGTGTGTAAACGTGTGCATTTTTTTTGTTTTTGTGGTTTAATGCCTCAACCTCCTCTTGTCATTCCAGGTGGATCTCGGGATATTGAAAATTGTGACCGGCATTGCCACCCAGGGGGCTATCTCTGTAGATACGGCCAAGATTTACTTTGTTAGCGCCTACAAGCTGGAAGTGAGCTCCAATGGAGAAGACTGGATGGTCTATCGACAAGGGAAGAACCACAAGGTAATGGCAGAGTGATTTATATTCAGCAGATCTGAACCTAGGCAGTAAGAGAAGTTGGGATGCTGACCAACTGTGAGGGGACAGGTTCGATTTCCCCCTCGGGTGACTGTCTGTGTTGAGTTTGCGTGCTCTCCCCGTGTCTGCGTGGGTTTCCTCCACGTGCTCCGGTTTCCTCCCAGGTTGGGGTGGATTGGGCATGGGAAATTGCCCCACAGTGTCCAGGGATGTGCAGGCTAGCTGGATTAGCCATAAGAAATGCAGGGTTAAAGGGTAGGGGATTGGGTCTGGGTGGGATGCTCTTCGGAGGGTCAGTGTGGACACGATGGGCTGAATGGCCTACTTCCACACTGTAGGGGTTCTATGATTTTTTTTCCCCCGAAACAACAGTGAATGGCACGGAGCGTGTTAACTGGCCGTGCGGTTACGAAATCAAGACTCAGCTGGAAGGCAGTAGTTTATTTAGAGATTCCCTGGATTCCCTATCTCTGCTGCGAACGCTGAACAAGATGGATCAAAATGGACGCTATTATCAGCCAAATACCAGGAACAGTGACGTTGTTCCAAGCCAGGGTGGTTAGCGACTCGGAGCAACTCCAATGTATCCGCTGTCCTGGTTCTTCTCGGCAGGGCCCTGTGGCTTTGGAGGGCACTGACAAAAGAGCTTTGGTGAGTTGCTGCAGTGTATAGTGGAGTGGGTATATGGTGAATGTAGTGGATGTGGTGCCAATCAAGCGGGCTGTTTCGTCCTGGATGGTGTTCAGCTTCTTGAGTGTTGTTGGGGCTGCACTCATCCAGACAAGTGGGGAGTATTCCGTCGCACTCCTGATTCATGCCTTGCAGATGGCGGACAGGCTTTGGGAAGTCGGGAGGGGAGTTAATTGCCACAGAGTTCCTAGCCTCCGACGTCCTCTTGGATTTATAACTGTATTTATATGGCTGATGCAGTTAAGTTACTAGTAAGCCCCCACAATGGTAATGGTGAAGGATCCAGCAATGCTATTTAATATTAAAGAGAGATGGTTAGGTTTTCCCTAGTTGGACATAATCATTGCCTAGCATTTTTGTGGTGTGAATGTCATTTGCCACTTATCAGTCTTGTTCCATTGTGACCAGAGACAACAAATCATGGCCTAAAATGAAAATGCATCATGGAACAAAAAAAATCAGCCAGTAAACAGAAGCGAGAAGTTTGTTAAAAGTTCTTTCTCACCCATCTCTTTGAGTAAAATGCTGATGACAGGACTTTCCCTTGGGTCTGAAGAATCCCAGATTATATTGCAACCATCAAAACCTAGCAGCAAAAGAAGGAATTAGAAACCAGAGCAGCTGATCTTTTGTCTAGACAAAATGGATTACCTTGTACAAATATAGCTCAGTAAATAGTTTGAGGAATGTGAAATTTAGCACTTGCCTCGTTCCGTCTCACACATTCCCACTTAAAGCATTAATCCTGTCAACATGTCAGTCACTCATTTACCTCTCCGTGCTATTTTCTGGGAGGGCCACAGATCGGCTCTGTGCTGCAGCGCTTGATGGAATTCGGAAGTTGGCTGGGAGCTTGCGGGAGTGGTGGTGGATTGAGCTGGGAGCTGGGCGTGGGGTGGGGTTTGAAGGAGTGAGAGGGGATAGTGGAGGTGGGGTGGGGGCAAATACCTTTCCAGGCTGTTGTTCGACGACAAATCTCCGATCGCAAAGCAGCAGCTGGGCGCTCACTTCAGTTTGTGCTTTCTGCGGGTTTCCGAGGGAAACCTGCCGCTGATACGCCGCTGAGAGAAGGGTCTAGGCCCGAAACGTCAGCCTCCCTGCTCCTCTGATGCTGCTTGGCCTGCTGTGTTCATCCAGCTCTACACCTTGTTATCGCTGATACGCCACTGTCAGCTGGAGACTTTGTGACGAGCGAGGCTTTTGCAGGACGGAAACAGCAACCACCAAGTACGGGTGACAGGGAAGGAGAATTTTTTTCATCTTTGTAGCACCCCCCACCCCCCTCCCCCCCAACCCCTGCCAGCATGTCACTGAACAATTTACAGCCAGTGCAGTGTCTTTGTGATGTTGAGAAATGTGGTGGGGCTGTGGTTGTGCTCCCAGAGACAGCAATGGAATGAAGATCTGACAATTTGATCCATCGATGATGGGGACACATTCGCAAGAACATGTGAGATAGGAATAGGGTTAGGCCATTGGGTATTTCGAACTGCCCCGCCTTTCAATGGTATGGCTGATGATCCACCCTACTGTCCTGTTCCATGTCACTTGATTCCTAACCTATCTAAGAGTCTAGTGCTCTCAGTCTTGAAAATAATCGATGACTGGGCACCCACAGCCCTCGGGGATAGAGAATTCCAAAGACTCAAAACCCCTTGAGTGAAGACATTTCTCCTCATCCCAGATCAAACCACTTAACCTGAGACTAACTCTGTTTACTTTGCTGCCCAACAAGGGGAAACAGCGTCACAGCATCCTACCCTCTCAAACTCCTGAAGAATTTTGTTCGGTTGAATGCGGTCAGCTCTAATTTTCTTTTCTAAGTTCTTTGAGATATAGGACTGGCCACTCAACCTCTCTTCATAGGAACAAAGCTTTAAGCCGTGCTCTTTAATCCATGATAACGTATTTCACCCAGTCCCATAAACCCTCCTTTTATTGCAATATGAAGTACAACCCAAGTGAGAAGCAGTGATATTGATCGCTGGCACCTTATGGAGTCGTTTTACAGTCCAACCACATTGCATCCATTGGTTCCTCTCATCCACAATGCTTGTTTCATGCTCAGAATCTCAGTGAGTCTGTCCCTTTTACAAATCCATGTTGACTCTGGCCAGTCATATTGTGATTGCCTCACTATCCTGTTACCAGTGCCAGTAATAATAAGCAGTGAGCTCCCTGCAGCCGTTAAATTGATACGCTGGCCAGAATGATCGCTGTCATTACACCCCGATATCAGCAAGCCGAGGCAGACTTTTGATCATTGAAGTGGAGGAGCATAAAAGAATGAGAGGATAGAAAGGTTAAGATAAAGCAGGAGAACGAGAGAAGGAACTAAGGCACTATCTTCCGTGTGGCAATAACTAGAGACATTCCTTCCTCAACCGTGACTCCCAAAGCAGATTGACTGCTCATTCATCTCATTGCTGTTTATGAGATGGTATTGACATGGAGTAAGCATTTGGCCATCCAGAGACACTCAGTGTAATTGCCTTTGATGTGTTTCACATGCATTTAGGAGCTATTAAAACAGAAATGTTATCTTTCTTACTCATCCAAAGCAATCCGCGGGAGTTAATTTAATATCTTTTTGGGAGAGATACGGGAATGTTGTTGAGTGAGGAGACTGCTGTACAAGAACCATCACAAAGCAAGAATGGAAAGCACTTTCTATCGTGACCTAGCTGGAAATCAGCCAAATGTCTTGGTGTAAACAGGAGCCCTGGGGAGGGCTTTTCAATCTGCCCGATGCTCCCAGTTTTTCGGGTTTCTATTCCGCTTTTCTTCACAGAACAAAACCACTCTCCCCACCACCACGCCCCCCTCACCGCTAATGTCACGTGTTTGGTAATGCAGATTTCTGATCATCGAGATCCTATAGCACCCAGTTTAAGTCACTCAAGCTTTGTTAAGCCTCACTGACTGTGATGTAGATCATGGGGTGCAATAACTTATTCAAATAATCATTACCTGCGTGTAGGTCCTGACTGGGAGTGTTGTTAAAGTATTCCTCCGTGTGGCAGGAGCAACGCTATAAGCAAAACTGTCTCTGACATTGGTAGATCAACACCATAGAGTCATACAGCATGGAAACAGACCCTTCGGTCCAACCAGTCCATGCCGACCATGTCCCCAAAATAAACTAGTCACACCTGCCCGCTCCTGCCCCATATCGCTCCAAACCTTTCCTACTCACCTACTTATCTAAATGTCTTTTAAACGTTGTAATTGTACCCACATCCACCACTTCCTCAGGAAGTTCATTCCACATGCAAATCACCCTCTGTGTAAAAAATTTGCCCCCAGTCTTTTTTAAATCTCTCTCCTCTCACCTTAAAAATGTGCCCCCTAGAGAAAAGACAACTACCATTAACTCTATCTACATTCCTCATTATTTTACAAGCTTCCATCAGGTCGCCTCTCATCCTCTTACACTCCAGTGAAAAAAGTTCCAGTGTGTCCAGCCTGTCTTTATAACTCAAACCGTCCATACCCAGCAACATCCTGGTAAATCTCTTCTGAAACCTCTCTCGCTTAATAGTATCCTTCCTTTAACTGGGTGACCAGAACTGGACACAGTACTCCAGAAGAGACCTCACCAATGTCCTGTACAACCTCGAAATGATGTCCCAACTCCTATACTCAAAGAAGTGAGCAATGAAAGCAAGCGTGCTAAAAGCCTTTTTGACCACCCTGTCTACATGTGATGCAAACTTCAAAGAATTATGTACCTGAACCCCTAGGTCCCTCTGTTCCACATCAGTATCCAAGGTCCTACTATTAATTGGATAAGCCCTAGCCTTGTTTGTTGTACCTAAACGCAACACCTCAGAATTATCCAGATTGAACTCAATCTGCCATTTTTCAGCCATTGACCATTTGATCAAGATCCCGCTGTAATCTTAGTAAAACTTCTTCTCTGTCTACTATGCCACCAATTTCGGTGTCATCTGCAAACTTACTAACCATGCCTTCTATATGCTTATCCAAATCATTTACATAAATGACAAACAAAAGGGGACCCAAAACTGATCCCTGTGGAACACCATCTTGTGCAATGTCTGGCAAGAATTCTAAAGGACTCTTGCAACCCAAGCACTAATATTGATCGCTGCAGCACCCACTACAGATATGAGCTAACTCAACCCTAAGCCCTCTCTGCTCTGGGTGACCTGGGAATGGGGATGAAGGGGAAGGGCTGGGGTGGAGGGGGTAGGTGGTGTACCTGTGAGGCAAAGTGATGGCTTTTGGGGTGGAGGGTGGTGCATGGAAAGCTGGATGGAGGGGAAATGTCA